CCTATAGGGGATCTGCACCACCTATAGGGGATCTATAGGGGTCCTACCCCTACCCCCTGCTTGGCACCCCCATAGGGGAACCCGCCCCCACAAAGGCATCTCTATAGGGCACCTATACCACCATAGGGGACTTGCAACCCCCCCACCCAGTCACCCCCATAGGGGACCTGCATCCATATAGGGGGATCTGCACCCCCCGCCCCACCAGAGCCCCCCCCAGCGCCCCCTCCCCTCAGCACCGCGCTCGCCCCGCCCCCTCCGCCGAGGCCACGCCCCTTTCCCCGAGGCACTCCCTGAGGGGGCGTGGCCAGCCCGCTGGAGGCCCGCCGCGCCGCCTCTATGGTAAGTGCGCCGCCTCTATGGTAAGTTCGCCACCACGGSACCGCCTCGGGCCGCCCTTCCCTCCTCCGCGCCGCTCGGCTCCTCTCGATGGTGCGGGGCGGCGCGGTCACGTGGCCGGAAGGAGCCGGGCAGCGGCGGCTAAATGGAGCGGGGCCCGAGCGGCCCCGGCCCCGCGCGAGGAGGGGCCTCTCGCGGCCTCCCGGGCCCTCCCGCCTCCCCCGTGACCTTGGCCCGGGCCCCTTCGCCTCTCCCGTGTCCCCTCCTCACCCCGCTGCTGAGGACCCTGCTGTTTCTCTACCCGTTGCCCCCGTTTTGTTGCCCCCGTCTCCGGTGGGTTCTCCTTGCCACTGTCCCCCCGTGGGTGCCGAGGGGCTGGGACCTGCGTGGGTGGCAGCATGGGCAGCTCTGGAGGCTCCTCGGCTCCCTCCTTTCCAGGCCCCCGTGTTCCCGTGGGGAAACGAGGCGTCGGAAAACACAACCCGAGCCCGTTACGGAGACGCTCCGGGCACCTGCTGCGAAAGAGCAACCCAAAACACAGCTGCGCTCGGGGCTCTGCTCCGAGACCCCCCCTTYGCCCTCCGGCCCCGCTCCGCTCTTCATTTGACTGCTCGCCCGGTGTGCCGAGGGCGAGCAAACACTGGACGTGCCAACAGACACAGTGTTTGTGCAATAAAAATCTCCCAAATTCCTGCTTTTGGAATTGCACTTGCTCCAGCGAGGGCTGCACGTTTCAATATGTGCAGTGCTCAAGTGCCTTGAGAAGGAGCAGTTTTGGTGAACTTTAGGCGTGTGCCCGAGGGAAACGGTGCGAGCTGCAGGATGCGGCAGCCCTCGTGTTGTCAGGAACTGATAAAACTACAGTCAGCCTGAAAGGATAATGGTTGTCGTGCAGATCTGCTGGTTTTGGGGCTCTAAACTCGGTGCTGGTTRGTCAGGTAGCTGCTGCTTGTGCTGAAAGCTCAGACTTGGGTGACTTCTTGYGTGAAGATATAAAGCGTTGCCTTCAAATGTCTTTGTGTACCTTAATTAGACTTATTGGAATATACCTAAGTGAAAAACAACTTTCATTTAAAAAAAAAAACAATTAATAGTTCATTTTTCTCTCAGTTTTCTTAGTGCTTGTCAAGCAGAGGTCAGTTCCCTAAGTGAAAGGCTGTGGTTTGCTTGCTGACTTGTGCTCTTAGAYGTTTTTATTATTAAATGCACTCCTCGGCTTAAGGCTCTTGTGTTTGTTTAGGAGTTTGTGGCTGAGTTTACTGACCCTCCACCCCAGGGGGTTAAATGAGCCCTTGGAGGTTGTACCGCTGCAGCCCCCGGCAGAAGGTTTTAGGCGCTGCTGTGTGGAGGCCTAAACCCTGCCGGGCGTTTGGCTGAGATGCTGCTGACGCAGAGGCCGGTGGCCCACGGAGCCGCCGTGTCCCCGAGCCAGCGGTGCCCTTGCAGCCCCTTTACCCCGACATAGACACCGTCCCTAGCGGTCTTGCACGTGCAGGACGTGCCACTGTCCCACTCAGGGCCATCCCCTGAACACGCAGGTTTCTGGGCCCCCAGTATTAATCTGCAGTGCTTCCTTCCCTGCTTTGTGACTGACCGACTGAAGACTCATTCTGTCCTCGAGAACTTATTTTTTTTTCTTTCATTTCCTGCATATCTGTTAACCCAGAGCATAAAGCATCTCTAAACCTGGCCGGAATCCAATTTGGCTGGTTTCAGTTTTGATTCASTGCTATAATTATTCCAAATCCAAGCCCTTCGCCCTGCTCCCACTTCCGTAAATTCTCCTTAAGCCCTGCAATGTCCGTTGCCCCATTGCACGGATGCGCTTGGCTCGGATGGACCTGGATCTGGAGGGCTGCTCCTGCTCGGCTGAAACATGGTTGGCCCGAGGCGAGAGCTTTGCCCGCACACAGGGAAGCCTGTTTTGATAAAACCAGCCTTGGAAAATCTTCCAACAACTGCTCGTGGGTGGCACTCGAGCGGGAAGCTCCCATTCCTCGCGTCAGGTGGGGATAATCCTTCCTGTGCRGTGGTTTTTAGCTGCAAAAGTGGCTTTTGGGCACTTTGTAGCAAGCAGCAGAATAGTGTTGAGCGCGGCCCTTAGTGCTCAGGTACCACTTGTGCCTTCTGAGCATTGTGTCTGTGTTTCGCTTTAGTGTTTAAGGCAGCTCTGCCTGCTTCGTTTTGATGGGATCCGGGTCTGGGGCCCCAGTGTGGCTCCGACCTGGCCCTGGTGCCTGTTTGCCCCTCGGCTGCGTGTGTGAAAGCAGCTTCCCAAACGGGTGCCTGGTTTTGGCCTGAGAGCTTGGCTTCTGTGAGTGCTAATTATGCCCCGGCTGTGGTTACACAGCGTAAGCAGCAAGATCTTCCCCTGCTTGGAGTTTATTTCAGCACCTGCTTTCTCTTCTCCCCGTTATGCCGCAGCTCATGTGGGAAAAGCAAAGATACCCAATCCCGCATGATTTCCAGGGTTTTTCTTTTAAAAGCTGGGCCAGGTCCTGGCAGAGCTCAGTGCGGGAGGAGTCAACCAGCCCTGGTGGGGGAAAAGGGACCGTCTGTTAGGCAGGAATCCCAGAGAACCTCCTAGCCCCGAGCGCTGGCTTCACGTTACCACCGGTGACCTTTGAAATTACGGGGAGCAACTGGCCCCAATGTGGCTTGAGAAGGTGCAGCTGTAACGTGTAGGAGATGTAACCTGTGAAGCCTTATCTGGAAGCACCCAATGCCGGGGTGTTTGACATCTCCATGCTGCAGTTTGATGGCAAACTTTTAAGTTTTTTTGCAGACAAAGTGCTGTGCAGATTGTCATAGAAACCTTCCTTTTTCCTAAGGTGGGCTGCTGCAGTAAGCATGGATAAGATATTTCCCCTCTTTTTACCACCTCAAGGTCAAGTCCTCCTACTTCCTCCTGTCAGCAGCTTTTCTGAAATGAGGTGAAAGCCTCTTTGCAGGCTCCAGCCATCTAGGAAAGCAAAACTAATTGTRATTAAAAAGAAGCAGCCTCTCCCCAGGTTTGGTGGTGGTGCCTGTGGCTTTTCTGGATTATAACTTCCCAAGCGCCGCGTGGATCTTTGTTTGCAGGCTCGTCTGCTGCAACTTGACACCTAGGGTGCTGTAATAGGCCACCAAGCTCTCTGATTTAATGTCCCGTGGCTGTTGCTGCAGCTAAAGCTGCTCCTTGGGCTTTCCAGCCCTCTTGACGTCAGCCTAGTTAGTCACTTGCTGCTCTTCCTAATTGTAGTTTGATGGTGGTGCAGCCCGTTTCTCCTCCTGTTCTTGCTGCCCTCTGCAAACGGAGCTGACTACAAACCAGGTTGGTAGTTTCATATCTATTAGAGCACCGGTGCTGTGGCATCTTGGGGTTACCCTACCCAGCAACCTCAAATTCCTGCCTTTGATCCCTCTCCAGTGGAAAGCTGTGTCAGGATGATAACCTGAAGGCTCCTGAAGGCATGCGTTGAACTTGTTAAATAACAAAATGCAGCGCTTCAAGTGGGTTTATTCTTTGTTCTCCTAGACCTTTTTAAAGGTGACACTTGGGGTTCTCTAAAAAGAAAAGGATTTAAAAAAAAATAAAGGAAGACAACTAAGTTTGAAGAGGAAATACTGAAAGAAAAAAGGAAAGGGAATCCTGGGGAGTGCTATGAGGTGATAAGAGGAGCAGCTCAAGTCTTTCCTAGATGAACTAGGTCATTTGGGGCTCTTTCCTGGGGGGTCTCTGGGTTGATGGGGAGAGAAGCCTGCAGGGATTAGCAGCAGGTGAGGTGTAGAGGTAGGTGGATGTAGCTCCTGATGGTCCACGAGTCCTCCTTCAGACACCAGTGGGTTCAATAACCCACTTTCTCACTTCTTCAAAGGGAAGAAGTCTCCTACTGCCTTCTCTTGGAGGATGTATGAGTACAGGGCTMGAAAACCAGAAGCCAAGCTCCCTCTGGAAGGGCAACGCCCATGATTTCCGTGCCCTTCCGCTCATCTCCACCCTTCGACCACAAAATCAGAGCAGTTCTTGAAAACGGTGTCTTGGGGAGGAGCCCCTGTGGGGCCGTTGGCTCTGTGTGTGTGTCCTGCTGAGATTCCAGTATCCGAACATTCCTCTCGTGAGAAATGCCAGGCTGGCACCTGCTTTGCTCGTGGCTGCGCGGAGGCAGAAGGGAGGCTGTGGATTTGGGGACGCGGCTGTGGTCTCCTACGTGCCAGCAGTGAGGTGGAATAGCAGCCCCTGAAGCAGCTCCTCCTCCCCTCCGAGCCTGAGTTTTCACTTGTCTGAAAATGAGTAGCTCAAGGCARGGACATTAACCCTCTTTCCAGGCAGACTTTAAAATTTAACTCTTCCTTTCTCAGGGCTGAATTTGAGTTGGTGGCGAATAAGTGACCTGAGGCCCCTACCCCTYTTGACCTGATTGTGCTTTTTGTGTGTTAAAAAAATAGCAGTCTTGTCCTGGTCTAGAGGGATAGAGCAGTAGAAACCTGTGTGACTTAGCACAAGAATTGAAGGGGGCCATAGAAAGACTGAAATATTTAGCAGTTCAAGTTGGTTGAGAGCACCAGAAACTTTCCTTTTCAAGCTGAATTAATAGCTTTAGAAGCTGCATCTTCTRCCCATTCCTACAGTCACAGCTTGGAAAATAAATGTACCTGTTCCTAAGCAATCTTACCTCACAAGCACAGAAATAGCAGGAATTTAGATAGTCACTGGGAAAGCTGGTACAATTTCACATTGTTAGCTGAGATATAACTGGGCAGATTTGTTTCTTCTATTTGAGATACTGGTAGACATAACAAAAATGGAGGTAACACTTCAAGAATTATGATTAAGCCACATTCTCACCCTAATGGAATGAAGACCTTCAAGCTAACTACAAGTGTCCGGGAAACACTGATAGTCAGAATGTTTCCTGGAAGTCCTAAGCTGATCTAAAATGTAAAAATTAGTGATTTCCATTCCAGTTCATCCCTGAAAATCAGGCTGCAGCTGCTTCTGCCCAAACATCTCTCGTGGGATGAGCAGTGTTGGGTAAATAGCTCCTATCGAGTCATGTTTATATCTGCTATTAATCCATCCAAATGTCTTGCAGTGCCTTCTTGGTAGCAGGATTTACAGAGGGGTGATTAGGAACTTGGCCTCGTTCAGAGGCCCTGGAACAATATTCCTGACTCCAGTTACGGTGCTGGGATCTCTGCAGAAGTAGCYGGTGCTGCTCTAACAGTTTGCAGAAAAATGCCCATTTTGGTGCCTGCATAGGGAAGCAACCTTCAGTTTTGGTTTACTTAATGCTACATGTGCATGGTGGGGGTGGGTTAGTGTTTTATGATATGTTTCATCTACTCRGGTATAATGCAATCAATTCTCCAGCCTGTTTTATGCTCTGTAGCTGTTTTACTGCTCTTTTGCTGGAGACGAAGTTATCTCTGCATTTATTCCTTTTTATCAGATTGAGAGTCCCGCTCCCCTCCTGAGCGCTCACTTGTCTGCCTTAAAATCCATTTTTAACCTGAGCTCATTGCGGACCCATTGGTAAATGCTTAGGAGACAGCTTAAAAGTTATAAGCCCCTTCTGTTATTAAATGAGCTTCTGCTGTGTTGTGCAGTAATGTTCTTGTGCGAATGTGACGGGCCTGRAACTCGGCTGAGCTGCGAGTGATCTCAAGTGATCTCGAGCCTCTCCAGAGAGCTAAGAGGAGCATTGGGGAGGTCCTGCCTGCCCACACGTCCTCTCTCGTGGAGAGCAGGGACAAGGCTTTGGGGTTGGGGACGATATTTTCCTTCTGGGTGACTCCTTCCCTTAGCTTATGCATTAAGGAGACCTCTGCACCAGCCCGTTCCGTGCAAGCTCCTGCAGGTAACAGAGCTTCACCTTGCAGGAGGGAAAAGCCAGAGGTTTAGAGCCTGGGGGCAGCTGCCCCGTGCGCAGCAGGCAGGTCGGTCCCCCCAAGGAAGCTCTGGCGGACTATTTGCGGGGTTGAACAAATAGCCTCTTTAATGCCTTAACTCTTCCCTTTTATCCCGTAACACCCGACCGGATCTCGCCTTGTACTCGCCTTGTACTCGCCTTGTACTCGCCTTGTACTCGCCTTGTACTCGCCTTGTACTCGCCTTGTACTCGCCTTGTACTCGCAACAATCCAGTCACCAGAAGGCGCCATGTCGCCTCTTGCCTTATATGGTCCTCCAGCGTCTTCCTCGTGGCTGCCTCCTGGTCGCCATGTGGCTTTAGCCCCTCCATTTTGTGTGCCTTGTTTTCCCTTCCCCCAACTGCCTCTCAGTTTAACCCTTTCCCCGACAGATCTGCACAACGGCCTCTCTTGTCAGGCTCGGGATCGGGGGGGGTCTCATTTTCAGTGGGGCTGCTGCAGCTCGGCGGGATCGGCCGCTGTGGMGCGGGCTCTGCTCTCGCTCCTGGCTCTTCCACGGAGCAGCCCCCAGCAATCTGTGAGCCCTCCACAACATTTCTCTGAAGCACCTGGCACTTAGGCTGGTTTCTTTCATTCCCCTGTCTTCCTTTCTTTAAGAGCCACATTTTTGCTTTGCACGTCGCGAGCTGTCACAAACCATGCATTATTTAAGTGGCTTCTCTCTCTTTTAGCGCTTTGAAACCAGCCCCAAATTTACCTTGCTCTGAGCTTACCAGAAGACAAGCTGAGTGCCTGCAGGCAGAAAGTGAGGACTGAGGCTCTTCTGTCCATGTAGGTGAGCAGCAGTGGTGTTGATGGATAAGGAAAAAGACTAAAACCTGCCCTGATTTGATGTCGCTGACACAGCTCGGGTTGCTGCTTCCCCCGTGCTGTATTTTCATTGGGATTTTAGCCTCTTACCTTCCTAGTGGTGCTTTTCCTTTAGTCCTGCTGCCTTGGGCTGGAGCCGGAGAGAACCCTTTGGTGCCAAGTCCCATTTTGGCTACTCAGGAGTTAAAGATTTCAAATAAGCAGCAAAAAAAAAATACATTAAAATCCCTTGGAGGGAAATCTCTCCAAGGCAGTCCCCTTAATTTCTCGTGTCATGCAAAGATTCATTCTGACACGAATGTAAGGTAGAGGGGAAGGCATTTGAGTTCTGCTCCAATTACTGCAGCTCCTGCATATACCAGGAGTTTAAATATACGCACAGTACAGACACTTGCTATTTTTAGGGCAGGCTAAAAATAGGCAGTGTGGCGTTTAGGGATTTTTGAATGTGTTTCAGAAATTTTTGTTTCTAAGCGATCTGTGCAGCTGAGATACCCGCTTGGGCTATTAGTGGCACATTCTTCAGCTCGTAGTAGATATTGGAGCCAGGGAATTTGTGGGATAGACTTTTCTTTTTGTGCAAGAAGCTCCTTTGGAAACCTGCAACTTGCAGAAGTAATCTGAAAAATGGAGGGGAAATTTGGTAAAATCCCGTATTCTTTTCTGTGTTGCCAGMAACTGGCTTCAGAGTCACGCAGAGAATTTGGAGTGATCCTGTTACCCTATAGGGATTCAAGCCCCAAATTCCCCTCATTTTGCTGATCTGGGGGCAGCAGTTCTTAAGAAAAGATCGACTTGCCAGGTGTGTGTCTGAATGCCCCAAGATCTACTTTTTCTTAAAAGGGGAGGGAAAAATTGGTTCTTGTATCTTACCCTTGACTATATTGTAAAGAAGGAGATAGTTGTGTTGGAGCTTAGTTCTCGGTAGCCTTATTTTACAACTCTGAAATAGGCCCTGGCTTTACGGGGCTAATGTGAAGTGGGGTAGCTCCTTTCCACCTGCTTTGCCTGCTTTTTATTGTATTATATTTTATTTTAAATAATAAACATTATTATTTATTTATTCTGTAGGGCAGGACCCGGGTGGCTTTGATCCTGTTACCGCGCGCTCTGCTCTGCGCGGCCCCGATCCCAACGTGGATTATCTTCCCAATCCAGGCTGCTAGGCGGAACCGGCCCCTGTTGGAGATATTTGTTTAAAGGTGAATTCCCTCCCCATTGAGGAGTGACAGAATGAATTACCAGCTCTCCGGGAAGGCTTGGGCTTTTATCAGAGTGGTGCTTTATAGGCTGCTTTTTGGTTTTAATGCAATGTGCTTTGAAAAAGAGCTGGTTGCACTGCCAATTTCTCCCAGGTTTAGCTTTTATTTTTCATGTTGCCTGGCCTGTGTGTTATATTTAGTGTTATTTATTGCATTTTGGCCTTTAAACCGCCGTGGCTCTTGTGCTGATGCACGTGCATCTCCTCCTCCTCCAAGGAGGCAGGCTGTCTGCTTGCTTGAATTTCCTTTCGGATTATTTCCCATACCTTTCCTTGATGTCCAGGGTTGAAGTTGTGCAGGTCCCTTGCCAGGTGAGCCAGGTTTGCCACTGCAGAGCCCTGGCCTTATAGCAGCCTTAGGGCTTCTGGGTTTGAGCAGCAGCGGTTCCTTTGGCATTGGGCAAAGCACCAGACAAGAAGTGCTTGGYGTGGATCCACCGACTGGATCTGCAGGAGCCTGGGCTCTGTTCCTGGCTTTGTGCTCCGTGCCCTGGGCCGCGCTGCTCCCTCCCACGCTTCCACTTTTCCCCTTTCTAAATAGCAAGAACAACATTGATCCTGTCTGCTGAAGTGCTTGGAGGATGTGGGTGACAGGACTAGGCAAGAGCCCTGCACGAGTCCCAGCRAAATGGAATGATGCAGAGATGGATGTGACCTATGGAAAGGGCAACATTTTCATTAGCTCTGCTTGTAATGATCCAGCTGCAGAGCAGCTTCCCTGCCATTCCTGCAAATAAAGTGTATCCAGAGTAAGAGGGATTTCTTWTCCCTTGATTTTAGATTTTTTTAGATTATGCACCTCTACTTTCTCTTGTATTAAGCTGTCTTGAAAATGGTAGTCCTGGTGTTGGGTATGTAGCTTTTAAATTGATTTTTTTTTTCTTTTTTCTTTCTTTTTTTTTTTTTTTTTAAATCTTGCTCTGCTGCCTGCAAATCCTGCTCCCTGCGGAGGAGGTTCCGTAGAATTCCTGAGGAGGAGGAATTTGTGCTGCTCTTCTGGCCTAGCTAACAGGATTTTATGGCAGACTTGCCACTTTCCTGTGACTTGAGCATGAGTAAATATTTCATTCATGATGCAGATAGCAGTGTGCTGGTGATGAGACAAGAACTTCCCTATAAAAAGGCATCATTTCAGTTCTTCCCTATAAAAAGGCATCATTTTCTCCCAGCGATCAGATTGTGCTCTGGCTTCATGGATGTACTTGGAGAGGATGGACAGGGAGYTCTGGGATGACGGAGCAGAAAATGRAAACCTACAGTGCAGGGATTCCTCTGATCTCCTAATCCCGCTCTGGAGCCTCCAGCCAGTACTTTGTGCCTGCCCCAAAACAGGTGGTGGCTGAAAATTAAGTCCCAAAAGCTCTGTCCTGTGGAGGAGCCTGGTCCCTGTTGTGCTACCTTTTCCCTTCCGGAGCAGGTGGGAATGTAATTCTGGGAATTTCTACCCAACCCTCATCAAAGAGGGCCTGTCCTGTAGATYGGGGGAGTCTCTTCTTTGAAGCAGCAGCTGAAGGAAAGGAGTGTTCTGTAAATGTGGCTGTTAACACACAGGAGCAGCACCATGTGCTTAGGCCAACGTTGTTGGCAGCCGCGAAGCCTCTTGGAGCCCTCGGAGCCCCCTCAGCCTGGCAGGGAATTCGGGATTTACTAAAATTGTTTCTGCACCCAGTAACTCGTTTTTACAGGCAGCTTCTTGCAGGTCTCGCTGCTGGGAGGTCACTGTGGTGCCAGCGGTGGCATTTCTGAAGCATCAGGACTTGCTTCCTAATGTCACGTGCCCTGGAGCGGCAGGCTGTAAGTGACACGGAGCCCCCGGTGCCACTTGTGCAGTGTCACCCCGGCTTGTGCTGCTGTCACCAGCAGATGGTGGCAGAAGCAGCACCCTGCAAGCTGATGCATCAGGTTTCATTCTTGGGAATGAAGAGTTTGGATCTGCAGGAGCATTTGTCCAGTCAGGATTCGAACCTTCCACATCTCCTCCCTTCCTGTGACTGCAGAGCTATGAGCATCTTCAAGGTGTTTTTTCCCCCATAAAGGGTTTTTAGGCCCATTTTTGCTCTTCAGCCACGCTGTCCCTGRCTGCCAGAACAGAAAGCTGAAATATCTTTCTTACAAGTTCTTCAGAAAAAAYACTGTCTTGGAGAAGATGTGGTAGGAAAGTCAGGAGAATCCCAGTGATGTTCTAGTGACCGAGTTGTAGAAAAGCCTGGTTAGGRTGTTGCTAAATCTGTGTTTTTTTCCATTTTGTGTTCTAGTTCCTCTTGCTGACCTGACTGCCATGCCTGGGCATTGACGCTGCTGCGACTGTTGAAAATGGCAGAGAGAGGTAGGAATGAAGAAGTCATTCACCTGAACAGCTTCCCCAGCCACAGAGGGAAAGGTGAGTGCTGCTCTGTGCCCAGCTCCAAAACTGTCCTGTAAAACTCCTTTAACAGAGGATTAAATATTAAATCGGCAAGTGGTGTTAATGGGAAAGTGCTGGAAGTATTTTACTGGAAGTGAACTGCAGAGCATCTCTGACACAAATCAGGCACAAATAAGGTTGTGCCTGATTTTCTGGGGTAGTTGAAATCTGTCATTTTATACAGAGACTTGAAATATTTCGCCCTGCCCTCTGTTTTTTTTTTTGGTGTTGTTTTTGTTTCTGTTGCCTTTAGGCAGACAGGCAACTATCTGGAAATGGCAAAGCCATGTAGAGCTATTCCAGCTGCTCGGAGTGAGCCTTTTAGGGGCCTCAGGAACAGGCAGGCTTGCTATTCCTGCCCCAGTAGGGCTGTATGTGTTGGCACTTGTTCCCCCACGAGCAGAGTTCAGGACACCACCTCTGTGGGTGAAGGAGACTAAATAAACACTCCAAAGCTGTGAATGTTAAACCTACTGAGCGATCCCGTTGTGTGTTGATTTACTACAGTAAAGTACACACCAAAGCACTTGGAAATCAGAGAGATGAAGCATGGGTGTGCACGCACATGTCTCTTCAGCACAGAGGTCCCGTGTTCCTGTCTGGAACTTCTGAATTCCAGAAGTTTTGTTCATTAGCATCTATATTTCTCTCCTGACAAGCCGTAAGAGACAAGGCTGTCATCTTAATAATAGGATATCTGCTGCACCCACAGCCAGGGGCTCTATCTCTGTCTTGCATAAGGTATTTCTGCAAGGTCACACCCTTTCAGAACAGGCCAGATTGCACTTGGAGACCTTGCCTCTCCTCTACACCACATACATACGTTATTAAAATGTATAGGCCTTGAGATACTCAAAGGTCATGACTTCTCTGCAAAAATTAGTAGGTGCTTTGTAGCTGGCTTACCTGAAATTGTTTTTTTGCAGTACCTTGACTCCTGCAAGGTCTAGAATAAATAGCAGAATCTGTGCAGTGTTAATTAGTAAGGGTCTGTCTCATGCATACGCTGTTGTAGCTTCTTCAGCTGTAGCTTGTGCAGATAGATCCTTCCCACAAAGGACTGAGGGACATGGGAGTGGCTGTAACAYAGATTGAAGAGGAGCCAGGGACCTTTGAGCACTTCTCTGCTGCTGAAGTGCACACGTAAAGATAACTTTTTCAGGTGCTTCACAATTTTTTTACCCTTCTCTGCATATCTTTAGCTAATAGCTAAATTTCCCTGCTTTGTTGCAGACTGGATAAACCACAGAGACGAAGGTCTTATCACGATATCGGATTCCTCGGATGAAGAATTACCTTTGTTGCTGGAAACACCCACTCAACAACGGCGTGACGAAGATGACGATGACGTAGTCATCTTGGCAGAGGTAKTCTTTCATTTTTGTGCAATTTACCACTTTATATATTGCCATTATAGCAGGTTTTTGTACTATTATCTATGTTCTTCAGCATCACGTCCAGTTACAGTAGTTTATTTACCTGGRATACCAGATGAATGTTGAAATGATGGCATTTTGCTAGGCTTGTGTTTCAGTTAGCTGGGTAAGTTTTGGGTAAGACAGGGGAATGTCTTTCCCCTGTATTTTGTGTCTAGTGACATAAAGATGTATAGAGTGCAGTTTTATGCCTGGTGCCCAGTGGACTTTTCATGTAYTTCCCATCAGAAGTTTGAGATCATCAAAAGATCATTTGGAGCAAGGAAYCTGACATGCAGAAAGGAGCTCCCTCTGCTTATTCTTGTCTGTCTCATTTTCAGACCCCAAAGCATCAGCAGCTTCTGCGCCCTAATGTCATCAGACCCGCTGCTCAGTGGCASAGTGCAAACGCTGTGGGAGAAGGAGGATCTAAAGGTGCTGTAGAGCCCTTGAGGAGCATATATCTGCAAAATGAGATCTCAACTCTGCTGTGCCAGAGAGACCTGGATAATTGTGTGGTGGAGAACAGTGCTGGACCAAGCAGGGATGAGAATATGAACCTTGCCTTRCAGCAGCCCGGACCCTCTGAGCCTAATGGCCCTAGGTTTGAAATTAAGAGCAACCAAGAGGCTGGACTAAATTCTTTTGCAGCAAAAAAGACAGATCTGCAGCTTCCTGACAGGGGTGTCGTTAACCTGGAGAAAGCAGACGTTGCCCCACAAGCGGAGGAAAAGGTGGAAGCCAAGGATTGGCAAGGAGAAGATTTGGAGCCAGAGGTCATAGAGAACCTCAGAGGAACAGCTACCGAAACCCCTGCACATGGGCAGGTGATCCCAGGGGACAGTCACTTGGATCACTCTTACGTTCAGCCACCAGAAAGCGAGCCGGGTGCTGCAGCAAACAGCTGTGCTCCTCAGCAAGGGCAGCCTGAAGCAGACCCCGCATCTCTGCGGGCTTATGGAGAGGAGGCACCTGGGCCAGCTTTTCCCAGAGCTGAACCACAGCAAGATGGGATTCCAGGTCCTGCTTCACCCCAGGCAGCCCATCCACCAGAAGAAGCGGGAGGTTGGGAGGCAGCGATGGACAATGAGCAGCCGGGTCCCGCATTCCCCGGACAGGGCTCCCATGAACTTGGCTCTAGCAACGTGCCAGAAMAAGGAGCTACTGGGGAGGAACAGGACCTCACTGCGCTGCTCATCAGAGAGACAGTAAGTGTCCCCCTGTGCTTGTTGGTCTTCAGCGTGCACATTTTTTCAGACAATTTTTTCAAGGTATGAAGCGTTTCATGAGCTCAAAGCACAGCTSCTGTTGACACTCTGCACTGGGCCAAGTGTCCAATAGGTGCAAGGTGAAGAGCAAGTCATGAACTTCTTGGAGAAGCTTGATTTGAAGGACTAGCCTGTTCTGGGGCAGAAGTGACGACMGAATGTGAACCTTGAGGGCACCRTTTGGCTTAGGGCTGGATGTGGGTSTAGMGAATTCAGCATCATTGATAGAGTTTCAAAGACAGAGTGAAGCAAATAACAGGAGTCTGCTCTTAATGATTTGTTTGCAGATCCATTCCCTTAAAGGCTACTTCCCTCCCAACTATATATATATATATATATATATTTGTGTCTGGCTGATGTCTTCTTCAAGTTTGTACAACCGGTTTAGAACTAAATAGGTAAAACTGATCCACTAAATGCAAGTAGAGGTAGAGGGATAGAGAAAGTTTAGGGACACATTGCTGAGAGTCATGACCACCTTCAGCCAGCTCTCCCAGCTGGGACAGTCTGGACTGTGGCCATGTAAAAGCTCAGGGCTCCTCATTTCCCTTGCAGTGTGGATTTCCAAGCAGTAGCTCCGAGGGGACACTGGATAGGCAGGGTGAATATTGGGTTTAAGTTCCCCATGTGCATGTGAAGTGGCTTCTAGCTGTGTGTGTGAGGTTGCACAGGGAGACACTAGCCACAATTGCTGAATGACCAAGGCAGGCACTTCTTGCCTTTTGCATCCACAAAGATGAGTGCTGTGGTATATATAAGGTACTGCRGTGATGCCTCACATGTCTGCTGTCCTCCCCTCTCCTCCAGCACCCTTTCTTCCTTCTTGTTAGATAGGAAAAGTCTTTGCTTGATGCTTTTAGGAATAATTTTCCTCTACATAAGTGTGAAGTTCTGCTTGTACCTTGAAGTTATCCCTCCCCATCCCGTATCTGATTCTATGTGTGAAAATCAAGCTTGAGAAAGCACTTCTGTTGTTCTCAAGAGAGCAGCCCAACAAAATCCTGCGCTGCTTGAGTAACACCTTGTTGATCAGTGACCAGCCCTGGTAAGATGGACAGAGAGATACTCTTACGTTACCAGAGCTGCTTGACAACCCTGACCAGTTCAGTCGTGCAAAATAAAACACACCTGGCACAACGACTTCAATATCTGTACAGAAACCCACGGGGCAGAGGGCTCCCCTTTGCTGCTCCTTCCATGTGGTCAGCACTGGAAAGGCTTTTACAGAAATGCCAGTAAAGGTTTGTTTGTCTGGCCGCCTCACCACTGTGCCTTGTTGCCTTGAATGGGTAYGTGTATTTTTTTCTCCTTTCTGCTTTGGAATGTTGTCCTTCAGCAGACAATCGGAAACTCCTTAGTCCTCTGAAAGTAAATATTAGCTCTGTTTGTGTTGTAGATCATGCCTGTGTCTCCTGTTTCTGTCCACGCTGCACCCTTTGTCAAGCCAGCTCCTGGCCCCTCATCCCTACCCATGTCCATGTAAGAAGGAGCTGTTAGTCCTTCCATGGAGGAAAGGAAAGCCAGTGGATTGAGAACCAGGTGGATGAATGTACCTGGTCTATTGAAACCCCTTCTGGCCTCTGTCTCATACTAGATAATTATATATATCTAAAGTTCTGTCTTTGGTGCTGTTGCACAGCTCTAATACCTAYATAACCTTTAGCTTTTCCTACTGTAGGAAGCAAGATTCCCTGATGTGAAGAAGGAATATATTGAAGAGCTAATCAGCATCAAGAACTGCTATGACTTAAATGTGTAAGTAGAGAGCTGAGGCCRCAGCACTGTGGCTACGGTCACACTTCCACCCCTGCTCTTGCTGATGCTGYCCTTACACAGCATAGGAAGGGTGGGAGTCAGTGCTACCTTGGTAGTACCAAAGAGCCTATATATATAAATATATATATATATTTTCCCTTTCTAATGAAGCTCATCCTCTCTCCTACCTCAATAAAACGTAATTGCTTTCTTATGGGTGAAGTGCATCCCTCCTCATTCATCCACACCATAAAGCAACACTTAGTTCTTTGGATGTGTAATTCTGCCATCACTTCAGTGATGAAAAAGTAGTGAAACTWGAGTTTCTCTGCTTTTGTTAAGGTCATTGGTAAGTGCTCTGATTATTTGATTATTTAAGAATGTCACTTATGATTTCCCCCGACTATTGCTAGATTCCATAGGATAAGATATTGAGGTGACTTTCTTATAAAATTTGTTCTCTCAGGTCACTCTTTGCAGGTAGAAGACAGCAAACATCTTTCAGGGTCTAGATAGCTGTCAATAGACTGGTTTTGAGCAGAAGTGTGAGCTAGGAAGGAAAGTAAGCAGCAGAAGAAAGTTTAAGAACTGTCACTTTTCCAGTTGTGCTAACAGCTCAAGATGCCCTCAGTGTTAGCAATTGTATTTGATTCTGGCATGATTCTCTGAATAATAAATAAGGCATTAACCTTTCTTGTTAAGTTCTGTCTGCTTCCCACCCTTCTGGATAAAACTTGCACATTTGCAAAGGGAAAGCTGGTGTGTGTTGGCACTAGCAAATGTGCCYGGGGAGGGAGTTACCTGAAAATACTCTTGACTTGTCTGGTGTTAGGTGGTCTCTGCAGCTGGTGCTGCTATCTGAAACACGTTGAAACTAGTTATTTGATCTGGGAATGAAGAATGGGTGTAGGTTATTAGAGAATGCACTCTAATGCGTAGCAATCTGATCCCTTCGGCAATTATCAGGACACTAAATCAAGCAGCATTGAAGAATGTAAGGCTTAAAGTTATTTATTGCATTATAAATTGGTTAACTGGCAGGGAACTAAGGGGGAGTCCCTCTGTTGGGGCTTGCTTTCCTACATCTGTGTTGCAAAGTCATGTCTCCACAGCAAGGCTTGTTGGTTAGAAAGCTGTAAGATTTAAATTTCTTCCTTCTGAATGTGCATTCCCTGCAGCCCTGGCCTGTTAATGCAGGAGGCTTTGGGATGCACCGAGGACAGGCTGCTTGTTTGGGGTTGTGGAAGGCTACTGGGGCTGTAGGCTGTTCCTCRGGGTGATCAAGCCATTACAGTTGGGCATCTAGCTGCAGGAGCCTTCACAGATGATGTGGAAGAAACTCATTAGAGTATCCTGCGGGGATCTGGCAAGGCCTGAAAGGATTAAATCCCAGTATCAGTCTCTATCAGCCTTAATGTGTTCCTTCCTTTCTTGCTCCTGAAATCCTTCTTTCTATTATGCAGCACAGAACCAGTGGGATGAAAAGCCACTTAGAGACTTCCCCCTGGCTGTCTGCAGTGTCTGCTCAGTGGTGCATTACACAGCACTGGGTGATAGAGGTTTCTTCCCCATATTTTTATTTCTTTAACCCGGCTATCATCTGAGTTGTCACTGCATCTTTTGTATGGGCACAAATGGGTCAAAGCGCCGGTCAGCCTCACTAGCAGGATGTCTCTGATGTCCGGGGTATGTCAAGCTGAATCAGGCTTGAAATATAATAAATAAGGCTGGTTGGGTTTGGACAGGGCTGAGGCTTTTAACTGGCTCTGTGTCCCRCGCTGCGGATGTTAATGAGCGAGCGTGCGCACCGGGATGCACTTAACTAATTTTGGACATGCTGAAGGTTAAGATCTCTGCAAATCCTGAGCATTGAAATGGCAGCTCGCAGAATAGTTCAAATGCATCTGACTGGGCCACAGCTGAACCCCCTTCCCTTGTGTTTGAGCTTCAGTGATCCCAGGTCCTTGAAGTTCTGGGTTGGATGGATTAGAACAGTTACCCTTTACAAAAGAGAAGGGGGAAAGGCTGGATGCTCTTAAATGCTCCATGCCAAGATAGTTTGTTGTCTTCAGAAATGATTGTCTTAAAACTTTCCACTGATGTGAAGGATAAGATGTGAGAGCCCTTCTTAGCAGGGTATCATCTATTCAGCTTTTGTGTGCGGGAGCATTCGCATTCAGCCCAAAGCTTTGGGTTCAATATGTCAATACCTGATTAAACAAAAAGAAATGCCTCTGCTTTGAATGTAAAAGCAGGGCTAAGGCAATTGTGATAGTGGGTTAATGCTTCAAGGCAGTCGAGATTTCTTAATTAAGCACTGATTTCTGACATCAGGAATGTAAATTAGCAGCAATTATGTCTATGTTCCCTCTAGCACCTTTTCATTCAGAAAGTTTTACAAATGTTAATTGCTCCTCATAGCCCCTTTCAGAAGGGGTTTATGCTCAGTCGGGGAAACTGAGGAACAGTTTGTGACCTCAGCCAACTAGCACAGCTGGTTGGTGACAGAGCTGAGAATAAGCTGTGCAAGGCTGATTCAAATAGGCTACAACAGCCTTTCCCCTTCAAAGGGGCTTCTGAAGTATCTGCAGAGCTCTGGCAATGCACATATCCTTAAACTACTTGTCTCCTGCATGCTGAAACACTGCAAAGCTAAACCTAACTGACAAAATATTTTTTTGTGTGTGGTTGAACCTTGGCAATTTAGATTTGGATTTAGAGGGCAGTAAGCATGTAATTTTCCAACTTAATGATTTTAAAATATTGTTCCAGCGAGAGCAGTTCCTAGGGTGAGCTGGATAATGCCTGATTTCAAGCCTTATTACATAAACCTGCACACACCTTACGTAAGCCCAGGTTAAACATGTTTTTGTCTCAGCTTTACTGTGAAAGTAGATGAAGACTGGAACTTAATTAAAATTTGAAGCTGTGATCCGTGCGGGAAGGCATCATCCTTTCACAGGTTTTGTGGGAGGTTTGGAGCTTATTCTTCCAAGGGTGCATTTATGTCAGCTGTGTTTGAGTTTAAAGCTGCTGTGCTGTGACTGTTCTTTCTTGTATGGTCTTCATAAGGTTAATTCCACAGCAGCAGAAAGCTGCTACGCTTTGACTTGTAGTCACACAAGGTTTAACTTGTCCTCAAGGGAAGTGTTAACTTTGCACGGGTTGACGTTAGTAGGGAAGTGAACCTGTTTCCCCACTGGCGTCAGGGAGTTGYTTGCAAACTTCTGTTATATAAGTGTAACTGTTGAAAGGCAAATGTATTTGTTTTTTTGCAGTCATACAGCAGGCCCTTCTTAATCCTGAGTCATTTGACTTCAGTTTGCTCTGCCCTGAGACCTCTCCTGGGTCTYGCAGGACAAGCCACAGCCTGCCCAGCCTCAGATTGCTGGGTACTGAGAACTTAGTGAGGAATGAACCTGAGCTCCCACATCCTCAAGTAACTACACTTATCTTTTCAGACTTTGCAACTTTCTCCTGGAAAATCCAGATTACCCCAAGGAGGAAGGCAGAGTGGTTTTAAATCCCAGCAGCAGCCTGCTTGCCAGCCAAGACGAGACCAAGGCAAGTGGGAGCCTCCCGTTACGTGTGTTCAGCCCGAGCTCGTCGTGGGTTGCCTTGCTCTAYTAGTGCACGTTTGTGGTGTGCCTGACTGCGCTGTGCTCATGCAGCTGGCCTCTGGGTGCATTTAAACTGCTGTTAAACAACAATATTAAGTTACTTATAAGATGATTTTAAGATGTTGCTGTGTAGGTTTGTCTCTTCTGCTTTTTCTCTCCTGTGTCCTGCCTGCTTTTTCGCTCCCTCCCATCTGGCTTGTTTGCTTTGGTCACTGATCCAATAATTCTTTGGTCTCTATTGCATGAAGTTCACTGGGACATCTAGTCTCTTGTATGACATTTAAGTATTGCCTTTTAGCTTTCTAACTGAGAATCTCCCTGCAATTTCTTGATTGTTTTTCCCCATTATTCTAATCTGTTTGTCAAAGATTTTTGTCCCAGGTATGCTTTCTTTAAGTAAACTGAAATAACTATGTGTGACTTGGGAGATGCGGGTACCGAATACCTCTTTCTGYGTTGAGAAATATTCCTCAAATTTAAGCCTGTGAAGCTATTCAACCCTTACAGTAACACAGGGCAGTGAGAAGAGGATGTATATGTGTAACCACATAAGTCGGCTTTAAGCTAGGCTTTAAGCTAGTTGGCTTGGATCCTGCCCGGAGCAGAGCTGCAGGGTGGTGCAGCGCGGGGCAGGCTCCCTGCACCAGCGTGTACACCCGTTAGCTTCACGTGCCACACTGTGCTCGGAACAAGGTGCCCTGGAAAACGAGTTCTGTGTGGTCTGGCCAAGTCCCTGACTGCTGAAAGAGGGTTGTTCGGGGTGCTTTTGTGTGTCTGTAGAAGCCTTTTAATATTCTCAGTTGTCTTTTGCCTTTTTTTCCCCTCAGGTGCCTAAAGTGGACTACTTTGATTTTTCCAAACTTGCTCCACTTGATCAGCGKTGCTTTATTCAAGCAGCTGACCTCCTTATGGCAGACTTCAAAATGCTGAGCAGCCAGGACATTAAGTGGGCTCTACATGAACTCAAAGGACACTATGCAATCACACGGAAGGTTCTTCAATTTAAATCTTCTTAGTAGGGTCGTTTCCCCTTGCCTGTGGGGGAGAGCAATGTGATGTCTTTTGCTCTACTGCCCTATCTGCTTGTGTGTGGTTGTATTTCTATGACCTGCCTTTCCTCTCAAAAAGGGTTTGATGTCCATTTAGCCAAGAGACCTGTACTTTGTTTCTGCACTTTCGCCTGGGAAATTTAGAGGCACTAGTTGGTTGATGGTGGGCCATGCATTAAACTGAGTAATGCTCCTATAATGCCCCCTATGCTGAAGGGGGATATAATTGCTAATAACACTTAAACTAGCCAAGTTTTAAGACACTTTAACTGTTGTCATTAGTTTAAATGACTACAAATTTGAAGAGGAGCCAGAGTCTCTCACTGGYCTTCTCATTTTTGTGGTCTTCAAAATGACTCATACATTCCTTGTGAAAGAATGTCACTGTAATGGAGCTGTGAAGAAACACGTTCTCAAGTATCAACAAGCTAAACGTGAATGTGGTCTCAAATTTTTGACCTGGAGCTGTTTTTCTGATATGTTCTCTTTCTTAAGTGTCTTTCCAAGACTTACCTTTAAAAAGGCAAAAACAAACAAGGGTCAAGGTGATGTTTTTCTTTCATTTGAGTGATCGAGTGTAGAGCAGTTGAATTGAGCAAAGGCAGGTGGTTCTAGCTCTAAACCATCAGGAAGAAAGGTTCAAAAAAATGGAGCTCTGTTGCATCAGAATGGACGCCAGCTGTGTTAGAGATAAGCTGAGCTGCTGCAAAGCATCATTCAACTCTGCCTGAGCAACAGGTGGTTCTTTTGTTTATGATTGTTGTAAATTCATAAAGCAACAAGATGGATAAAAGGGTAGAGAGATAGACCTGCCTTTATAGGATGTCTAGCTGTCCTGTTTCTAAATGGTTCTTACGCATAAGCTTTCATGCAGTGCTTTAATTTAATGTGTTTGTCTCTGCTTCCTTCCAGAGAGCAAAAGGATTTATGCCTGTATGTTGTTTTCTAGGCCTTTTCTGATGCCATCAAGAAATGGCAGGAGCTGTCTCCAGAAACCAGTGGGAAAAGAAAAAAGAGGAAAGAAATGAATCAGTTTTCATATATAGATTTCAAATTTGAGCAAGGTAAATACCAAGCAGTGTATGTGATGCTCTCTGCGTGGATCCTGTAAGCAGAGCTGGATTGCTGCAGACAGTACTGTTGTTGGAGAGGGTCCTGGTCCCCATCTGTGCGTCTGTCGCTGTCTAGAATCTGGTTTGAAATGCTCTTCACTAATGCATCTGCTTGGTACAGTGCTGCTGGCGATGCCCAAATTGTGTAGCTTGCAGTGCATAGAGGAGGAAGGGTTTAAGTTTTGCTCTTGCCGCCCCATCCCGTTTCATTGTAGTTTTAACTCTGTTTTAGGTGATGTGAAAATTGAGAAGCGGATGTTCTTCCTGGAGAATAAGAGGCGGCACTGGAGGTCCTACGACCGGCTCTCGCTTCTCCCACCGGTGCTTCTGGAACAGGAATTCTATGAGCAGAAGGTTAAAGAGATGGCAGAGGTGAGAGTGGTAGGAGATGCTTCCATCTTGTGGGGCAAATGATTTCAACTACTGCAGAGGTCTTGGCCTTAAGCCTGGGAATCTGTCTCTTTTGGAAGTCAAATGCTGAGCAAAATGTTGAATATCTGATGCCTTTTGCTCCTTTGCTAACTATTAACACTTAGGGCTTTTTCCAAAATGAGCCACTTGGGGTAAAAACCAATCAAGGAATTTTGTATTTGCTTAAATATATAGCTATCACTTCTGCTGTTGGAAAACCTCCATGTATCTGCTAATGTTGATTTGTAGCCTGTGGTAAAACACCTTTTCTGGCCTTTTTTTTTGCTACAAAGTAAAAGCTGTATTAATTACTTCCTGCCATAAGTAGCAGTCGTCTTTTCTGCTTTTCAACTTGTAATTACAGCTCAGTGGTGGTGGTTAATAACAACTCAATCAAGGGCAGACCATCCACTCACTCTTTTTCTTTTGAAAGTTGGCAGGCCTGTCTCAAACTCCTTGTCCCATGCTGAGGTGCCTGCATCAAAGCAGAACCTTGCAGCACTTCTGGGGTGGTTTCTTCCCCTGATAATCCAACCAAAAATCCAGCTAACAGCTCTGCAGCTACAGTCCTTTCTGAAGTAGTGTCCTAAAGATCAGTGCCTCTTAAGGAGATAACTTTTTAAACACAAAGCTCGTGTTCCTTGGGGCTTTCTCTAGAGAGATCTATTGAGTGAGATCTTGCCTGCCCGTAGAAACCTGAACTAATGGCCCTCCATAACCCAAAACGTGAGTGGTTCTTTGCTCTTCTGCCTTTGCTTCTAAAGTCCATTTTAGCTGAATCAGAAATAGTTTAATAGTTTGAAAGGATGGGCTTGAGTAGTGGTGTGGGCAGAACACGGTGGGTTGTAAATCTTGAGCTATTGTAAAAGTGCTTAGGGGATGGCAAATTGGATTCTGCCTTTTACAAACCCAGATGCACRTGTCTCTTCCAGCACGCCGACTTTCTCCTTGCGCTGCAGATGAACGAGGAGCAGTATCAGAAGGTCAGTGTGGACAGTATGGTTCCTAGAGTATTGAGGCTATTTTGCACTTGCTGCTTTGCAGACTCCTGTGGCTTCTGGAACAGAGTTTTTCTGCAGGGCTGCATTTGCACTGTGCTGAGTCCAGCAAGGCAGGGTCCGTGTGTGAAATGATCTGTAGAATCCAGTCAGCTGCTGCTTGCATCTTTACTGGCCAGAACAAACACCCCAATAGAATTGTACCAGTTTTGCTCTTGCTACCCACATCGTGGCTGTTTGAAACAGATTGGCTATTTTTGCAGCACTGCCAGTGAAAAGGTCTTTTTCATTTGCAAAAAGGAATTTCAAAAAAAAAAAAAAACCACTGAAAATTAAGCCTTTCCCTTTAAATGAAGGAAGAAAGAGGTCAGTTCAGCTGTGGATTACCTTTCTCACTGCCTGTTTCTCCTCTGACTTTGGAGATATCTGTGTATTTATTCTTAACAAACTTCTCTGCCTCTTCAGTGAAGTGCTCCAGACAGGTTCTGCCCAAGCACGTGGGTAAATGTTCCTTTGGAGGGCAACAGATTTGAATCTTTCTTTTTTCCCCTGATTTCTCTGCTGCTTCCTTGCAAGCACAGCTCTCTAACCCGAGATGGTTTCTGCCTGTGAGCTAAGAGCTAGTCAAGCCTAGTGTTCTTTGGGGAATGGAGGAAAAGGGAGGGAATGTGTCAGGAAGGACATGAAAATGTTAATTAGTTAAAACTGAATTTCTGAGTTTGCTTTTTCATGGTGAGTTTCAATCACCAAAGAGGTTATCTATAGAATAACATATGTCTGTGGCTCACTTGTGTTTCTCTTATAATTAACGCTGACTTTTTTAATGGATTGCAGTTGCATGTACCCACATCACCGCATTCTTTCTCAATCCCAGCACTGTTTGTTGGTATGTTGCTATAGCTATTTTYTGGGATGTTGTTAATATGTCTGTTTATGGCTGCAGGATGGGCAGATGATAGAGTGCCGTTGCTGCTATGGGGAGTTTGCATTTGAAGAGCTCACGCAGTGTGCAGATGGTCACTTGTTCTGCAAGGAGTGCCTCATAAAATATGCTCAGGAGGCAGTCTTCGGCTCTGGGAAGGTAAGGATTCCCACCTGGGCACTGGGAAATGGGCACATTGCTGTTGGAAGATCACATTGCTGTTCGCAGAGTGTTGTTGCTGAGACCAAATGTAACTGCACTTCCCAGGAAGTGTTGGAATGGAAAAAAATCCAAGTCGGAGGAGTCTGCCTCACCATCAAATGGGTGGCGAAGAACTTCACAGTGGGATCTTTGAATAGGATTTCTGTCTTGCTTGGCCTCTAGCTTGCTCTGTRCTTAACAAATTTAATGGATTATTAGGATTTTTTTAAATAAAATTCATAGTAACAAGTTGTTTTGGTTTTAATTTGCTTGTTAATAAATAGTTATCTGYGCAGGGAACAAATGCAGAACTGGCCAGTCTTTTCCTAACTAAAATCTTGCCCTTAAATTCCTTGTGATCCCAACTTATTTCAGAGTCAGTTCCTCTACAGGACTCCTAATCCTTTCAGTTTTATATAGAAATGCTGATGCTACCAGGACATGCTCTCCAGAGCTGGTCCAAATGATGAGGAAGCAGCAGTTAGCAGTTACCCTTTGCTTAAATGAGCTATAAGATTATTAATCTGCTTTGAGGAATGCACKCTCGTTTGCCTTGGGATATGATGATCAAACCCCAGGGTTAATTTTGGGGGGTACTCTGTGGTCTGTATTTCATGTAACCATGTAAACTGACAGCTGTGCTTAATATGAGGGTATTGCCAAGAGCAGAGCATAGTTCACGAGCGCGATGCCAGCTYTCGGTGGGGAACGTGCAGCGGTAACAGGCTGCTCTGTGGTCACAGTGGCTTTGAAGCGAGTGATCTGTAATCCCAGCTATCAGCTTCCTGCCAGTGCTTGTCTGAGACCTCATCTCGCTGATTAAGTAGCTTTGTTCATAGTGTAGCAAGCCCCAACTCTGTCCYCTGTCAGTCATGTGTTGATTTAAGCTCTCCTCTCTTCAAGCAAAACCCTGTGATGCTGTGTTTGGAAATGTTCTGCAGGCTGAGTTGTCGTGTCACTAAAACCGTACTGAAATGGAGCTCTCCTCTGCTTCTATTTGTAGTCAGAGCTCAGCTGCATGGAAGGGAGCTGCACATGTTCCTTCCCCACCAGCGAGCTGGAGAAGGTGCTTCCAGAGAACATCCTCTGTAAATACTACGAGCGGAAAGCTGAGGAGGAGGTGGCCGCTGCCTGTGCAGATGAGCTCGTCAGGTAATTCTCCAGTGCAGGATACATGAGTCAGAAAGGATGAACTAGAGGAAATCCTGTACTTTCTGTTTTAGAAAATTATCCTCCAGAACTGTAAATATGTGCTGACTGTGAGGCAGGGAGCTGTCATAGAGCTGCCTTTATGTTTAGGGCTTTTGCTTTCCTCTTCTGACTGTTTTTATTTAGCATGGTTTGTCTTCCATTGACTAGAGCAGATTAAAATTCAGTAAGGCTGATTTCCCCCCCATCGCTTGCAAGCCTCATGCTGATCCTTTAAATCCCGTGGTCAAAAGCAGTGCTGAGCATGTATTTTGATTGCAAACAGAGAAGTGATCGAAGAAATATGAGCAAACAGAAATATGAGCAAGGCGAGTCCTTGTGGCAGGCATTTGGCTGGCAGCCTTATTAACAGCCCTGTAACTGTTTAAACCCCCTTCTGCAAAGACTTGTTGGGCCCTGTGTTTGTTTAGCCAATTAATAGCATCTTTTTCTGGGCTCCAGGTGTCCCTTCTGTAACTTCCCAGCTCTCCTGGACAGCGATGTGAAGCGGTTCAGCTGTCCTAATCCCCGCTGCAGAAAGGTAACTGGGTCACACTTGGCACTGGGTCTCTTTACAAGTGCTGTGGGTGAACAGGGAGCAGGGTGTACGAGTGCCATAGAAACAAACTGTAATCTGTTTCCTAATAAACTCTGGCGAACAAGCTGAGCAAACCTCAACTGTGACCCTTGGCAGAATCTGGCATGATGCATTTTCCTCTTAAGCCACTACTGGAATACAGAGTGGGCTGGTAGTGAACAAGATTTGTTTGGAGAACTCAGTGTGCCCCTTTGAAGGGCAGAAGATCTTTGTGCTTTTCAAGTTTGCTGACAACCATGGCATGAGAATCATCAGGTCCAAGGGCTGAGCAGAATGGGGAAGCTTTTCTGCTGCTACTTTTACAAGTTTATTTTTCCTGCAGAAGAGACTGCAGAAATGTTCATAGTCTCTTGAATGTGTATTAAACCCTGCTTGCATCTGGTGACAGGGAGTAGAGGCTGGTGACAGGGAGTAGTGTCAGTGCTTGACACCAGTAATATAGGGCATCTTGCGAAGCGTTAGCCACAAGAACAAGCTCTTATACAACATTCAGAGCTGCTGATCCCCTACTAGAGATTTCTGCTCATCCCAGAAATTCCTTTTGAATGCCTGGACAATGTGCATGTAACTGTCCAAGCACTGGGTTCTTCTTTTGAAGCTATACAGTTGTTTGGCTGTATTGGACAAGTTGTGTTTAAGAAAGCAAATTTTGTTATCTGGAGAAATTGAAGTTGCTACTAGTGACATTTATGTTCTGTTATGAAAAAATATCCTGTGGGGGAAAGCTGTTCACGAAAGATGCGCAGTTCTGGGTTAGATCTTTAATCTCCAGCCGTGTCTTGCTGACACTCCTATTGGAAGGAAAAAAACGCCCAGTTCTGGATCCTGCCGGTTTCAGGAGCAAGGAGGTTGGATTGCCGTTAGGTGGCACTGTTGATCCAGGTTTAAGTGGATCCTTTTTCCCCTTTTTTTCATTTTGAGTGGAGAGGAAAAAAAAAAAAGCTGTTTTCAAAGTGTCAGCACCATAGAGCAGAATTTGGGCTTAAACAACATGCATGCTTCAATGTAGTAAAAAAAAAAAAAAAATCCTCTTTTTTTTTTTAAACATGTATTGCGGTACAGTAAATGTGGCAATGGGGTCAGTGCTACAAATTCCCTTCGCTCTGCTCTTGGTTTCCTTCCTTGGGCGCTGTTTGTCCCCCTCCCTGTGGCTGCAGCATTCCAGTGGGCTGGATTCCTGGTTTCCTGGACAGCTTGTGTTGATTCATTAGCTGAAAATTTGCTGAGTCGCTTAGGGCTCTTTAGAAATCTGAAAGACTTGAGGGTTTGAAGCCTATGATGACAAACTGAGCTAGCAGGATGTGTTAGTGTCTCCTCTCACAGCGGCGGTGCTCTTTTGTAGTCCTTCTACCTGGTTTCTTCTCAGAATGAAATATTTTGGGGAATGTTCTGGCTTGCAGGCAGTTTGTCCGTAGGGAGGAAGGGGCTAATCCATCCCTTTTCTCTCCGGGAGCTCCATGGAGGCTGGGAAGGACGCCGTGGTTTTCCGAGCGGAGCCTCTGGCAGATATACGGCAGTGCTGAGTGATGCTGGAGGGAGTTCCTYGCTGGCTCGAAGGGCTGTGTTTGCACAGCTGAACCCGGAGCGAGGGGAAGCGCGGAGGGGGATCGGTCGCAATGTGCATCTCGAGCTCCAGGCTCGAAGAGCAGATGTTCTCCTGTTGTATTTCAGTGCTCCGTTGCCTGGATCTCTCGTGCTTCCAGAGCTCTTCTTTACACCCTCTGTCCTTCCGTTAAATCTTGCTGGGAGCTTTAGTCACCTTTGGATGGGATAGAGATGCACAGCAAGGTGTGTGATGGAARCCTCTTTATTTTGGCTCTGTGTGTGTGGATTGGGGCCGATAGAGGAGCTCGGGGCACCGCGCAGGGCCCGAGTTGTGGCTAGTGTCACCCTGGCACTGGTTGCTGCCTTCGGAGGCTGAGCGGATCCCGAAGAGCATGCGGATGAGCCTGCCCAGCTGCCAGCCCCGCTGTGATTCCAGCTGTGCTGCCTGAAGTCAGGTGGCCAGGCCTGGCAGCTTAATGTCACCGGCTCCTGCTGGGTGGAGGGGAAGCTCAGCCAGCCACAGAGAAAGGTTGTCTGAGTGACCCTGCCGGGGCGTCCGCTGGGTGTTTGCAGACCGAGCCTGTTCTGGAGGAGATTTGACCTTTGCTTAGCTGGCTGGCATGGGATCTGGGAGTTCTGTGGGTTTGCTCTCCCGTCCTCTGGGATCTGCCCATTTTTTGGGAACTCTGGGGTTCTGTGTGTACCTGGTGGCGCACGTGCCGGGAGGATTCCCGGCCGCCAGCTCGGCCAGCCCCATCCTGCTGTCCGAGTGCGGATCTCCGTGTGGAAGTGGGGCTTGGATTCCTCGCCTCCGAGGATGCACCTTGTGCCTCAGCGTGTTCTCGCATCACTAACATGTCCCACACTAAAGCTGCTGATCCTGGTAAAACTATGAAAGACACATTGATTTCTTAAGCACGAGACAGCGTGCGAGTGCTTTCATGTATCTGGGAAATGGATTTCCCCCCCAGGAAAGGAAGTCATTCCCACTCCATCTCCCTCCTCCCTGCATCCCGTGTCGTGCACAGAGTCTTGGCTTTTRTTCCCAGGCTGCTCGTGGCCGTTGCAGTCGCTGCTCCCCTCTTTGCAGTCTCGGCACAAAGCGCTGCAGGGCTCCCAGCGGCGAGGGAGGGCGGGAAGGAGGAGGGAAAGCAGCGTTTCCATGGGAATCCGGCACCGAGCCGATGCCGTGCGGTCCCTCCTGGTGCCGGGGAGCTAAAACCCTTTTTTGCAGCCCAGCTGCAAGCTGCAGCCACCTCGTAGGCACCTGCATTTCCAAAAAGAAGGCTCCGCTGCAGAGCTTGCAGGACCGGGTTGCAGGCTGGATGCAAAAGCGGTTGCTCAACCAAGAAGGTGGCTGCTGCTCTCATCGGGAACCACGTTGTGCATCCCGTTAATGAGGCTGCCTTTGGGAAGGAGGTTACCTGCTGGGCATCCGAGCTGTCGTGCTGGACAAACGAGCTCTGATGTGTCTGTGTGAGAGGGATTAAACCCTTTGCTGCTCTGCCTTTTCATCTCAAGGATGGCCAAAGCAGTCCTTGCGTGCACTTTTGATTTGTAGGACTGACAGGTASTGTTTTAGGGGACTTCTTAGAGCTTCTGGAGTTACCAAAGGTGGGTTTCAAGGTGCTGGCTGTGAACAGATGCAGCCAGCTGCTTCTAACCTTCATTTTCTTGTGAAAGATGAACGGGTGTCAGCTTGCACGGAGCTCTGCCTGGTAGGTTGTGCCTGAACATGGCTCTTAGCAGGCTGCTAACACAGCATCCGTGACATACACTAATACAAGTTGTGTCAGTTCACAGCAACTTCAATACAAGTGGTCTTTCTTGCTGRAACAGCAAATTATTTAAAGTTATAAAAGCAGCTAACGGGTCGTTCTGCAAGGCCCGTGGCTGTACCTGGTGTGGCAGTGGAACCAGCAGCTGCTCCTGGGTCAGAGCAGGATAATGAGGCGGCCCCAGCCACCTATGATCCAGTTACGAGTGTTTTATAGGGTGCAAGGGAAACGTTGGTGTCATCAAATAGCCAGCAGCGGCAATGGGTGTGYTTAGGGTGACATAATCCTTCCAAGGATGCCATCCCATGCGTTCCATGCTCCTGCCCGGAGCTGCCCTTCCCGAGCACCCAGCGCTCYGCGGTGTCGGGATGAGGCTGGATGTGCATGCAAGGTAAGGGAGCAAGAAAATCACTTTTCCTGGAGAAACCAAGCTCCGACAGAATGCCTCRGTGCAAGCTGTGCGTGTGGAGAATTACTTAATTCTCCTCGTTTTGCAACATGTTTTCCCAGCTGCTGAAGTCTCTCAGTCAGCTCCCTGACAGCAGTGCGAACGTTTTGCAGGTCCTGTGTTTGTGCAGCAGTCCTTATCCCCGTTTGTGTGCTTTGCTTTTCCATAAATACATTTGTTTGGAGGTGGTTGTCACTTAGCTCTTACCTCTCTGCGTGCAGAGCAGGGCTGAAGACAGCGGCTGCTTATGGCAACCCCCTGTCACTTCCTTTCCATGGCACTAAACTCGGCGCCTGACTCCCACGCTTAAATTTTCATCCCGTGTCAATGCGAATGTGGCTTGGTTTGGGATGAGAAGGAAATGGAAATGCAGGCTGGAGGATTTTGCTTCCCATGTTCCTGGTGAAGCTTGAGGACGGAGCCCTYGTGCTTGCACACGAACTTGTCCAGGGCCCTTCTGCTGCTTGTCTCATCCTGTGGAGCAGTTCGGAAGCTGCCRGTGCTCCGTGGGATCTCCCTGCTCGTCTCCCTCTGCTCACCGTTGTGCGCCCCTCTTCAATGCCCGGCGCGCGTGGGAAGGCGCGGGGCCGCGGCGCTGCCGAAACCACAACAAATGGCAAGTTTCCGTGTGTCATCCGGGCTCGGAGGCGCGCGGCGCCCGGCCGGGCGGTTCATTTTTCTTCCTTAAAAGGAGATGGGAGCTCGGGCGCTGCGGATGGAGCCRCGGCCGCTCGCGGAGGGCCGGCGGGAGGAGGGAGGGCCGGGGGYGGAGGTGCCGCCGAGGTGAGCGCGGCCGCAGGTAACGCCCCGCGGGACGGGAAGGAAGAGGGAGCAGGAAAAGCAGCAAAACCTTAAAAGTACAAGTGTGTGTGACGAGCCACGTGACGGGGCGAAGCCGCGCGCCCACTCGGGACGTGCTCCCGACAGCGCTGTGAGTCTGGAGACGTCGGCAAAGGTTCCTGCTGCCYCTCTTCCTGGGAGCATGAGGAAAGGCCGTATTCCAAGGAGGCTCCTTGTGCCCCAGCCACTTTGGGCCCATCTGCTGCTCCTGCTGTTTGCTCTATGGGAAAGGCAGCAGCAGGAGTGAACTGTCACCTCCAGGCAATCCTGTACCTCGTTTCTAAGTGTCTCCTTGGTCAGGGACAGCTACAAATATTGACCGGTGCCAGCAG